GAGTGTCCTGGATGGGATCCCAGATCAGAAAAAGGACAATAGGTAAAAACTAAGGAAATATGAGTTAAGTGTGGGCTTTAGTTATTAATAATGTATCAATACTGGTTCATTAAATGTGAAAAATGTACCATAAAAAAAGAAAAAGACCTCACATTCTTGCCATCCAGGTATTATCACTATGAACCTTAGTGCATATTCTTCTGGAGATACAGACATACGAAGAGATATGATCATAATGTACATACTGTTTTTATAACCTGCTTTCTTTAATCAACAATCTCTCTTTCCATTTCAGTAAACTTCTACCTCATCTAATACATAGGCCATATTCAAATTTCCACATCAGATCCAAACTGTTCCTTCTAGTTGTCTACTCAACCAGTATCCAATCCAAAAATCTCACATTACATCTAGTTGTACCTTTAATTTATTTTAATGTAGCACTATCACCTCTTCACACCAACTTTTTAGGACACCAACAAGCTAAAGAGATCACTACCTTTCCTACAGAATTTTCATCAATCTCAATTTGTCTGGTTTCTTCCTCTCTTATTCTTCTATCTACTGTTTACTGTGTAAAATGAAAGTTGTAAGTAATGGCTTGAGAAATTAAATGTTTTTGGCTACCATGTACTATACATAATTCTGTGTATTATACAAATTTTATGTACTATACATAACTCTGTGTATCACATGAGAAGATACATAGCATCTGGTTAATCCAACTCATTAGTGATAGGAAAACTAATCACTAGATTAAGGTAGCAATAGTTTGACCTCTCCAATGAACAATCACGTGTTTTTCCCTTGCAAACATAAAGTAATTTATATGGTGTTACTTTAATGCCATATGAACTGTCTGGGAACCCGCTACCCATTCATCTAATGGCTGTAAGAATTTATTTTCCAGACATAAAGCAGACATTTTATTAGGGTTCTTAATATGACTGTTTCTCTAAGTCTACATTTATTTGCTGGCATTCTTCAGCAAAGTTGAATTATCTTCCATCAAGGGCCTCTTTAGTTATTAAAATATAGATTCCCACTATAAATGCAGCATAAATGCTTAATTCTTTCCTATTTATATTAATAAATAAGCATTTTTAAGGTAAACAGTTATATTAACTCAAAGTATATCTAGTGAGCACTGTTTTTTCTGGCTTTTTCTTTGTTCAGCATCTTATGTACTCATGGGTTCTTCCTCAGTCATTGTGAGAGTATAGCAGACACCTGTAAGAACCTGTACTGCCCAGACAGCATGGCTCAGCAGCTGAGCATCAACCTATGATCCAGGAGATTGTGGTTTGATTCTGGGTCAAGGCACATGCCCAGGCTTCGGGCTTGATCCAGTAGGAGGTGTGCAGGAGGCAGCCAATCATTGACTCTCTAATCACAGATGTTCCTATCCCTCTCTCCCCCTTCCTCTCTCTGAGAAATCAATAAAGAAACAAAAACATATATATATATATATATATATATATATATTAAAAAAGAACCTGTATCTTTGCTTATGCTGACTCCCCTGATCTAACCAAAAATTCTTCACCTCATAAACCCAATTTCCAGTTTATGTTCTCTATACAAACAGTTAATTTCTTCACTTCCATTCTAGAGCATTTTTTCTTTTGCATACTACATAAAGATACGTCTGATGTAACAATTAATTGCATATCATTTTCACTCCCTGACTTGTCTTTCACAAGTAAGAACAGTATAATACACCAGTGTTACACAGCTTGATTTGTAGGTCAGTTCTGGTCCACAAACTGCTTCCTGTCTCAGAAACAATAAAAAGCTTGCACCAGACTATAAATCAAATAGTCACTAAACACAATTTAGTTTGGTACCATTTTTTTCTTTGGTAGTAAGGATTTGTGGAAGAGGGATGAAATGTGTTGATTTCTATTCTGGCAAGTGCTATTTTAACTCTCAACGGACCAGTAACAAATACTTCATGTACAAGCTACTCTAAAGAGCACTATCCAGTCATGCATTTAGCCTTACCGCCAGGAACACAAAAGGAAGATGAACCACTGTTTGCAGAGAGCAGTCGGTGAAGGGGTGGAGGTCATGGGCATGTCTAGATATTCCTTCTAAGATGAAGGATAAGTTGTTGCTTCTGGATCTTTCTACAACCAAAGAAAATATATAATGCTGGCCTCTTTGTATTTTAGAGGCGACATATTCTTCCTTTGGGTGTGTTATTCAGACCCATTTACCTAGTGACCTTAACAGTTGGGAGTTCTGAGTAAGACCCAAAAGACTCTCAAACAGGTCCTGGCTGCTGTGCAAGCTGCTCTGCCACTTGGGTCATATATCAGCAGATCTCATGGTGCTTGCAGTGGGAGTGGCAGAGAAGAATACTCTTTGGGGACTTCAGCATGCCTCGACAAGTGAATCTCAGTGCAGACCCTTTGCAGCAAAACCTTGTCAACCTCTGTGGATAATTACTCTCCTTTTGAGACATAGCTCTTGGCCTGCTACTGGGTCTTAGTGACTAAATGCTTAACCACAGGCCTCCCAGTGACTGAGTTGCCCACCGTGAACTGGGTATTATCTGAGACACAAAGCCGTAAAGTCGGGTGTGCACAGCAACATTCCATCATCAAATGCAAGTGGTATAGATGTGATAGGGCCCAAGTAGGCCCTGAGAAAACAAGTAAGCTACATGAAGTAGCTCAAGCGCCCATGTTTCCCACTCCTGCTACACTGCCTTGTCTCTCCCAGCCTGCACTATGGTCTCAGGAGGAGTTCCCTATGATCAGCTGACAGAGAAGACTCAGGTCTGGTTTACAGAGGTTCTGGTACAACACACAGATAAAACCCAAAAGTGGACAGCTGCAGCACTACAGTCTCTTTCTGGGACACCCAGAGGAACAGCAGTGAAAGAAATCCTTCCAGTACATCCTAGAGAAGCAATGCACTCAGATTTTAAGGGAAAACTCACTTCTATCCCAGCCAAACTATTAGGATCAATCAAATGAGAACAGATAAGAGTTTTTCAGTAATGCAGAAACTAAGAAAATTTAACATCCATTTGACCTCTCTTAGGAAGTAAATTAAGGATACTCTAGAAAAATGAGGGAGTAAACCTCAGGAAAAGGAAGACGTGTTATCCAGGAAATAAGCGGGCCCAATTCCTTACTATAACCAAAGGAAGACCCTGCAGGACAGCACACGAGTAGCTTCAGACAGCAGACAGTTCGGGTCACGAAAGGCTGACCGAGGTGCGGGGAGAGACAGAAGCACTGTTTGTTTTTTCCATTAAGCCTCTGGATACCACGTGAATTTTTTTGAACCATGTACATTTATCACACTAAACTTTTTAAAATTTAGTAATATTAAAAGGGAAAAAATTAAGAGGCAGTTATTTGAAATCTTGGACTCATTCAACTTTTAACATCTATTTAGCATTTGGGGAAAATTTAAACATGCCCTAAAAAGACTTCGCAATTTTCTTCTTATTATTTTGCTGTCACTGCATAAACAAAAAGTCAATTTGATCAGTGTGTACTATCTAAAATTTCAGAGGTCACAATGGCACAAAGCCATTAAGAGATTCTGTTTTTCATAAAGTGTCTTGAAAAATAATTTTCTATTCTTATGGTCCTTATACACCTATTCTCTACTGAATTATCTAACTTCTCTCATTACTAGAGGGGGCCTGGTCTTATCAGCTAACAATGGATCATGCTTCACATTTCAGGACAATAAACCCAGACACAACACAGAGTATGTCGATGGCTAGCCCACTGACTGACTCCAAGGAGATACTGAACATATTTTAGCCATTTCCCACCCTTTCTACCTCTTCCTTCCTTTACTCTAACGCTGCTGAGCAGGCATCTTCTCTCCAGGCTGGCAAGCAGAGAAATACTATAAACCAGTCTATCTCCTATAACAGTTAAACTAAGTGGTAAGGTTTATGTCTGCACATTTCAAACATGAGATCCTTCCTGTCTTTACAGGAGTCCAAGAATCATACATCTGAAATGGATCCTCCACTTCCTTGCTCCCAGCCTTAGCACAGAAAAGTTAAATATCTATAAGCATGGAGAAGAGTAGTACAGAAAATCCATAACCAAGTAATATAAAACCATTTACATGACTGTAACAGAACATTTTTACTAATTATCATTACTGACATAGGAGGGCCACAGTTCACCTCTGAGCATATGGCATGAGTTTAGTTTTAATTACCACCATAAATTCTAAAACTTGGTCCCTGCTCATAATTAGCTAGAACATATCACCCTGAGGGAGATGAGAAAATAAGCTGAGCAGGCGGACGAGAACGTTCTTCCTCAACAGTAATTTAAACAAAATTTGACTAGTCTACAAAAGACAAATACAGATTTAAAACTAAACAAAAGATACCCACATTTTAAAATTAGTATGTTATTTCTTAGTTTTCTGCTATGCATCTGACCTCGTCTGTGTTATATGTTCAAACCAAAAAAATACTGCTGAATCAGAAGTCAGATTCAAGTATCAGCTCACCCTGTGTCTTTTGACAAGTCTCATCACTGCTGAGTCTAGATTTTCTCAAATAAAAAACTAAGGCTGAGAAAGAGTAAACTTGAAGGTTTCAAACAAAAGTGCAATTATATGATTATGTAAGTAAAAACCACTGTTTCTTATTTCCCACTTAGCTGGTGACTGAATGCCTACTATGTTTCAGGTATTAGATCTCCCAATTTACAACTATTTCTAATTCTCTCAATAACCTTACAATGTAGCTACTATAAAAATCAGGAAACAGAAGCAGAGAGATTAGCTTACCCAATATTACACAGCTCATAAATGTTGGGGACTGTACTGAGACCATATAGAAAATCCTGGTTTTTTACTTCCACAAAAATTTCTACTATGTACTATTTATGAGCATTATTTTTACAGAAATTGAAATAGATATTAAAAACCAGAATTTTTTTTAAAGTAATGTCAATCCCTTTTGCAACTCAAAATATCAGAGCAGAAAATGTTCATTATGTACTCACCTGATGCAGCAGACGTTTCAGTTTGAGTAACTGAGTTTTTACAGCAGTACAATCCTGGACCATGTGCCGGAGGGTCATCTCATCCAGTATCACTGTATTTTCGGGAACATCTACAAACATTTTCTGAGCCTGGAAAAACGGGGCCCCTCCATAGCTTTCAAAATGACCCAAAGGAGATTCTCTGTAGGGAGAGCCTCTGAAAGGGCAGGAGAAGAAATTGGGGGTAAAAGATACACAACACAAATTTCAGAAAGAAATAAAAGTAATAAAATTATTGCAGTGATTATTATAAATGATTTATCATTATCAAAAAGCCTGTGACTTTTACTTGCCTCAGACACTGAATTTGTTTCCATTGAAAAGTACATTAGTCCTAGTTGTCATTAGTACATTTACCTTCTGTACACTCCCCTTTGTGTATTTTACACATTGGCTGAATAACCCTTATTCCTTAGGAACATCAATAAAAACAAAAAACTCTGGGGAAAGGCCTTGCCTGGAAAAAATATATATTTATTTTTCTTTTTCCTGCACTGGCTGCCTGCTTTTTATCTTTTGACTTTAATTGGCCTCTTCAACATCCACATTGTTTTTAGCCCCATAACTATGCTACCCATGTTAATATGCAGTTTGGACACACTGCTGGGCTCCTATTTCTTGAAAGTCCCAGCAGACAATTAAGTTTTTACATTGTTGATATAGCATCTCTTCTAATAAAGATTAAATAAGATTTTATAAATCTTGTTTCCTAATCTTAAACTACATTTTAAAAAATCTGTAAAAAATTTTAAACTTCCCTTTAGTTTCATACAATACAAATTCTGAATTTAGAATTTTTTTGTTTGAACACTTACCACTAGGGATAACGTGTTTTCTGGAAGTGAAAACCACAGTTTTAATCAGAAGTCATAGCTACAGAAATTTAAAAAGTACTGCATTCACATTACACATATCTTTTCCTTCTTTTCTTTCATATTCTCTGTTTTTGTTTATTTTTTCTTCCCTAATTCTTTGATCTCTTGTCCTTTTGTATTCTTTTTTCTCGTTATTCTTGTTTTTGTTGTTGGTTTGATGTTTTTAGGTTGGTCATGTTTTGTTTTGTTTTGTTCTGTCAACACCCATATAAAACACTTGGTGTGATGTGGTCGGGGTTGAGCCTCACAGCCAGCCATCCCAACAGCTGAGCCCACCCATGAACGGAACAATAACAATGAAGACACAATTATAACAGGAGGGTCCATATAATTCACACAAGGAAAATTCCTAGAGCACCCAACTCAGGAGATCAAGAAGACTACATGACTTGGGTCGCACAGGACACCCACTACAGAAGGCCACCCCATGAAGACTGGGAGTCATAGCAGTCCTATACAATACATACAAACAAACACAAAGCAGCAGCAAAAATGGAGAAACAGAGAAACAAGCCCCAAATAAAAGAACAGGAGAAATCTATAGAAAAAGAGCTAAATGAAATGGAGACAAGCAATTTCAACAGAATATAGAGTAATTGTTTTAAGAACGTTCGACGGTATGAAAAACATAGAAACCATAGAAAACAACCACTCATGAGAGAAAAATAACATATCTGAAAAAAAGGATACACTAGAAGGCAAAAACAGTAGGTTAGAGGAAGTAGAGGATCAAATAAATGAGTAAGAAGACAAGGGAGGGGAAAAAAAATCACTCAATCAGAGCACCGAGAAAAAATAACTAAAAACTGTGAGTATAGTTTAGGGGAACTATGAAACAACATGAAACATAACAAAATCAGCATCATAGGGAAAAGAAAGTGAGCAAGTATGGAGAAACTGAAGAAATAACGATAAAAAACTTACTTAACCTAGTGAAGGAAAAAATTACATAAATTCAGGAAGCACAGAGAAGCCCAATCAAGATAAACCCAAAGAGATCCACACCAAGACACATCATAATTAAAATGGCAAAGATTAAAGACAAAGACATCATTTAAAAGGCAGCAAGAAAGAGAGTCATTTACTTACAAGGGAGCTCCCATAAGGCTGTCAGAACATTTCTCAACAGAAACACTATAGGCCAAAGGGAATGGCATGAAGTATTCAAAGTAATGAAAAGCAAGGATCTGAAACTGAGACTACTCTATCCAGCAAGGCTATCATTCAAAATTGAAGGTGAAATTAACAGATTACCAAACCAAAAAAAAAAAAAAAGAGCTACAGGAGTTCATTACCACCAAACCAACATTGCAAGAAATGTTAAAGGAACTGCTGTAAGAAGAAGAAATATACAGCATGTCCCAAAAACTATGTACACACTTTAACAGTTGATACCTCAATTGATGTTTGTTTGTTTTCAGATTTAACCCACTGGAATTAATAATGTGTAATAAGTGTGTATACATTTTTGGCATGCCCTGTATATAGATAGGAACATAGGCTTAAAGAATTAAAATGGCAACAAATAAATTCCCATTAATAGTAACCTTAAATGTAAATGGATTACATGCTCCAATCAAAGATATAGGGCAGCTGAGTGGATAAGAAAACATGAGCCATATAAATGGTGTCTACAAGAAACTCACTTCAGAACGAAAGACTCCCACAGGATGAAAGTGAATGGATGGAAAAAACATTCCACGCAAAAGGAAACAAACCAAAAAAACCCTGGGGTAGCAATACTTATATCTGACAAAATAGACTTCAAAACAAAGGCCATAACAAGAGACAAAGAAGGTCACCACATAATACTAAAGGGTTGACTTCAACAAGAAGATAAAACCCTGGTAAACATATATGCACCCAATATAGAAGCACCTAAATATATTTCTTAAAACTCTTGGAGGGCTTTAACACCCCACTGACATCACTGGATAGATCTTCCAAACTAAAAAGCAACAAGGAAATGGTGACCTTAAATGACACACTAGATCTGATAGATTTAACTAACATTTATAGAACATTTCACTCCAAAGCTGCAGAATATACATTCTTTTCAAGTGCACATGGGAAATTCTCAAAGATAGACCACGTGTTAGGATACAAAACAAGTCTTAACAAGTTCAAGAAGACTGAAATCATATCAAGCATCTTCTTGGATCACAATGGCATGAAACTATAAATCAACTATAGTAATAAAAAAACCCCAAAAACTTCAAAAACATTAAAACATGTGGAGGCTAAATAGTATGGTAGTTAACAACAAATGGGTTGCCAATGACATCAAGGACTAAATCAAAATCACCCTCGGAACAAATGAAAATGGACACACAACAACCCAAAATCTATGGGACATAGCAAAAGCAGTCCTGAGAGAGAAGTTCATAGCATAACAGGCATATCTCAAGAAGCAAAAATCTCAAATAAATAATCTAATGCTACAACTAAAAGAATTAAAAAAGAACAACAGAAAAAGCCCAGAGGAAGGAAGGAAGAAAATAATAAAGCAGAGAAAGAAGGAAATAATAAAGATTGGAGCAGAAATAAATGACAGAGACTAAAAAAAGCAATATGAAAGAATAATGAAACCAAGAGTTGGTTATTTGAAAAGATAAACAAGATTGATGAACCTTTACCCAGACTCACCAAGAAACAAAGAAAGAGGACCTAAATAAAATCAGAAATGAAAGAGGCAAAGTAACAACTGACATCACAGAAATACAAAGGATTGTAAGCAAATACTAGGAACAACTATATACCAACAAATTGAACAACCTAGGTGAAATGGACAAATTCCTAGAAACATACAATCTTCTAAAACTTAATCAAGAAGAATCAGAAATCCTGAATAAACTGGTAACAACTAATAAAATTGAAGCATTAATCAAAAAACTCCCAGCAAACAAAAGTCCGGGACCAGATGGCTTCACAGGCAAGTTTCACCAAACATTCAAAGAAAAACTAATACCCATCCTTCTCAAACTATTCCAAAAAATTCAAGAGGAAGGAATACTTACTAAGCTGTTTTTACAAGGCCACCATTATCCTAGTTCCAAAACTACAGAAAGACACTACAAAGAAAGAAAATTATAGGCCAATATACCTGATGAACATAGATGCCAAAATACTCAACAAAATACTATTAAATCGGATCCAGCAATACATGATAAAGATGATACATCATGACAAAGTGGGATTTATTCTGCAGGTATAAGAATGCTGGTACAATATTCACAAATCAATAAATGTGATACATCACATTAAAAAAATGAAAGGTAAAAATCACATGATCATATCAATAGATGCAGAAAAAGCACTCGACAAAATCCAACACCCATTTATGATAAAAAAAATCTCAGCAAATTGGGAATAGAGGGCTCATACCTCAACATAATTAAGGACATATATGGCAAACCTACAGCCAACATCATAACCAAAGGGCAAAGACTAAAAGTGTTTCTCTCGAGATTAGGAACAAGACAGGGATGTCTGCTTTCACCACTCTTATTCAACACAGTAATGGAAGTACTAGCAACAGCAATCAGAAAAGAAGAAAAAAGCAAAAGGCCACAGCAATCAGACAAGAAGAAAAAATAAATGGCATCCAAATTGGCAAAGAGGAAGGAAAACTGCCATTATTTGCAGAAGACATGATATTGTACTTAGAAAACCCTAAAGATTCCACCAAAAAACTACTAGATTTAATAAGTGAATTCAGCAAAGTAGCAGGATACAAAATTAACACCCAGAAATTGATGGCATTTTTATACATCAGTAATAAACTCTCAGAACAAGAAACTAAAAAAAAAAAAAAAATCCCATTTACCACTGCAACAACAAAAGCAAAATAAGGTACCTAGGAATAAATTTAACAAAGAAGGTAAAAGACCTGTACTAGGGAAACTATAGGACAGTGAAGAAAGAAATAGAGGAAGACAAACAAATGGAAGCATATACCGTGTTCTTGGATTGGAAAAATTAACATCATTAAAATGTCCATACTACCCAAAGCAATCTATAGATTCAACACAACCCGTATTAAAATACCAACAACATATTTCACAGATCTAGAACAAATATTCCAATAATTTATATGGAACCAAAAAAGACCCCGAATAGCCTCAGCAATCCTGAAAAAGAACAAAGTTGGAGAGAATCACAATATACTACAAAGCAACTGTAATCAAAACAGCCTGGCACTGACACAAGAACAGGCATATAGATCAGTGGAACAGAACAGAGACCCCAGAAACCAACCCACGACATAAGACAAATAAGGCAA